TGGTTCCATATAAATTTTATTATGATTTGTTCTAGTTCTGTGAAATATATCCTGGGTAATTGGATAGGGATTGCATTAAATCTGTAGATTGCCTTGGGCAGTGTGACCATTTTAACAATATTGATTCTTCCAATCTAAGAGCATGGAATATCTTTCCATTTTTTAAAGTCATCTTTAATTTCCTTCATCAATGGTTTATAGTTTTCTGTGTATAGGGTATGATGTAATTTCTGTAACCTCTTCATGAATCTAGGCACGTATGATTTTGCTAAACAGTCTGAGTAGTTTTAAATCCCCATAGAATTGCTTAAGATTGTGGCCTCCCCCCCCTTCCCCAGACCCTTATCCCTTCTGCTAAATGTGTTGTTGGTGTTTTGGTGCATATTTTTCTTTCCCTTTTCACTCAGGGTTTCCAGAAATTGAGAAAGCTATAGAAAGTATCTATTTTGATAAAATACTGCCATGTATAGTAAACATAACTGTTTTTGTTATTTTAGGAATTGTAGCTGTTTATAAAACCCCAGAAGACTTTAAAATGTGAAATCCAGAATTGAGTAGGAAAGGGCCAGTTCCTTGTACTCATACCTAAGGAAACCAAGGAACAGAATTGAAGCATTTATTCAAGGCACAAGATAAGAGCTGAGACAAGTGTACACTTTACCGTCTTGTGTATCTCTGAAGGTTTGTGAAATGTTTATCGCTAAGCTCCTGTATTTTATTGAATTTTTGTGTTTAGGGCATTACAGTCTAGTTCAGCAAGCACTGGTCTCTGTTCTGTGGTAGATACTAGAGTCCTTTAAATTATTTCTGACCTTGATTTTGCTTAGGCAGACACCGAGCTGATAGGACCTGATTTGAGTCCTGGCCCTGCCACTTAGTTCCTGCTGCCCTTGACAGAGAAGTAACTTAATCTTTAGACTTGAGGTTCTTCACAAAATAAGAATAATAATACTTGCCCCAATGTGTTGTTCCCTAAATCAGTGGTTGTCATAGCTGATCCCACTGGACACTTGTTAGCAATACACGTTTTGAGGTCTTCCTGAATCAGAAACGGGAGGAAGCCCAATTTGTCTGTTTTTTGATTACTTCAGTCATTGTTTTAAATTAAACTTGTTTTGAGATAATTGTAGAGTTGCATGCAATGTAAGAAAAAATAGAGGAAGATCCCTGTACCTTTTACATAGTTTCCCTAGTGGTAACATCTTGTGAAGGCTATAGTACAATGTCAGTATGTTGACATTGATAACATTTCAGAACATTTCCATCACCAAAAGGATCTGTCATGTTGCCCTTTTAATAGCCAGCCTTCCTCCCTCACACCTCATTTCTGTCCCTAACCCTTGGCAACAAATAATCGTCCATTTCTTTAATTTTGTTATACAAGAAAGTGATATAAATGGAATCATGTTATGTAACCTTTTAGGGATGGCTTTTTTCACTTAGTATAATTCTCTGTAGCTGGACTGAGGTTGTGTATTTATCCAGTTTATTCCTTTTTATTACTGAGTAGTTCATGGTGTGGATATACATGGAGGGATTTGAGTCGTTCCCAGTTTTTAGCTGTTATGCATAAAGCTGCTATGAACGTTGTGAACATATTTTTATGTGATCACTCTGTGTTTTAAAAAGCTCTGTAGGTGACTGATACAACTCAGATTTCAGAATACTGTCCTAGACTTGGAATAGCCCTTTTCCCCATATACATTAAAATCTTTTCACATCCTATCCAGAGTGATCCTTTTAAAAGTAAGATCACATCACACCATGATCAAAACTTTCCAGTGGCTTCCTATCTCACAGGGAAAAAAATTCCCAAATCCTTATTTTCCATGACCTCCAAAAGGATGTAACCTGGTTTTATGTGCCTTTGATCTCTTCATCGCTTAGGATTCTTTCTCCATGTTCACTTGCACTCTTGCTGTTTCGATATCTAGTCCTTCAGAAAGGCCAGGCATGTTCTCACTTTGGAGTCTGAGTTAGCTATTCTCTCTGCTGGAACTCTTTTCCCAGATACCCACATGTGTGGCTTTATTCTATTCTCTGCCCAAATGCCATCTTGCTAGAGAGGTATGTCAGATAGCAAACCCTACACTAGTCTTGTCTCCTTCATTCTCTCCTTTAACCTCATCTTATTTTCTTCAAAGAACTTTTACCTGCCTGATTACATATATGGATATAAATAAATAATCTTATCTCTCACCTCTAGAACATAAGTTCCATAAACACAGGACTGTATTTTTAGAAGCTAGCACAGGTCCTATAGTAGATGTTCAGTAGGATGAATGAATGATAAGATAGTATGTGTGAAGTGTAAAATGTTTTGAGAACTGGAAACTCATCATTGTAAAGGGCCAGTATTCTCCACATTAGTCATAATTGGTAATAATAGATTGTGGCCAAAAGATGACATCAAAAGATGTTGGGAGGAGATGATATGGGAAAGGGAATGTTTACTCTGACTTGGCGCTTTTCTCATTTAGTCAGCACAGCAATGCCGTGAAGTTGGATATTTTCTCCATTTTGCAGGTGAA